CCTCTCTGCTAGTCTATTTCCTCCCCATCGTCTTTTTAAGTGTGGGGTAGTGTCACCTTTGGGCTTACAGGGGCCTTGCTGGGATGTACCCTAACAGGCAGTTGTGAAGCTTTAGGTGTCAGGCAAGGCAGATGAGTCAGAGCTGTGGACGCAGTGACACAAGGCTTCCCCTTAAGGGTAGACAGGCGGTTTGCCTTGGCTCCTTGCCATGGTTCCTCTTTTTGCCTGCCATTCCCAGGCACTGAGTAGAGTGGATCATTCAGAAGCTCTCTCTGCTCCCTTCCCCCTTTTCCAGGCCTCTAGTTCCCACCTGGACCAACTGCAGACTCCTTAAACTTGTTATACCCCCAAAAGTATTCTGAGGCTTTCCAGAGGACAGTAATTGCTGATTTAACCAGAGTTCAAAGTCTTAGCTACCAAACCAGTGCAAACCAAACCCACCATGCCAAACAAAAGCTTTTTCTTACTATTCATAGACGGTGGGAAGGAGGTAGGTGTTTAGAAAACAACATGAAGACTTTCAGTTAAAAAAAAATTCATTGAGTTATTTTTAAGAAAACAAAAAATTAAACAAAAGGTTAGAAGAAAAAATATTTCCAAAATCTTTAGAAATGGAGTCACCCTCCAATAGGGGGTTGATGAGTAAATCCATGGTCTTCAAACATTTTTGCTCACATATATCAAATATTGTTTATTCTCTTACACATTTCTAGATTAACAGCTAATTTTTTCAAAAGTTTATAGTTTCAAAGGATATAATTTCCTGCATACTGTAAATATTGACACTTTAAAATGAAATAGTCACTCTTTTAAATGAATTCAATGAAATGTAACTACCATAGTAATTATGCCTACTACCACCCATTTAAAAACTATATGATCAAACTTTCTTACCTACAGTGTATTTTACATAATTTATTTTTTTCTTACACTTATAAATCTATTCCACTTCTGGACCCCTCAGTAGTATATCCTAATTTACTGTATTTTTATGTTTGAATGTGATCAGCTATCTTTCTCTGTAATGAAAATATATATACATTTAAATTAAGAAATTGAAACTGCCTATGAGTGAAAGACTGTAAGTGCTGATACATTTTCTTCTACATGGAGATACCATTATATTTATTACTAATAAGCAAGTATTCAAAACAATATAAAATATATTACAAATATTTATAGTTATTAAACATGTAATTTTTTACAATCAATGCATGAATTTATTGTTAAATACTACTTCTAACAAGAATGAAAGGTTAGCATTAATGTTTTCTCAATTTTTCATGTTTATAAGTTCTAAGAAAATGTCTTTATGTTAATAAGTAGATGGGGCTGAAAGGAGTTTGTCATATCACTGTCACTTAATTCTTTGAATGCCTTCCAATTTCTAAACTCACTTAGTGATTTTAAGGTCATACTTTGTTGAAAGCTTCATCGAGCTTCATCAATTATGTGGAAGTCATCTGGCTTGTAAAAGTATTTGTTACCCAGTCATTAGAAATATACATTTATTTTCTCAACATAGCCCATATTTTAAAATGAGAAAGAACTGACATGAATTGCCTGAGATTTTTAAACCCTGGATCAGTGCACCATTTAAAGATTCTCAGGAAAGGAGAGTTATGCCCTTTGTTTTTGCAATTAGGCAAGTATATGGCTATTGTGAAAGAGTTGGAAAATGAAACAGGGAGACACCTTAACTGCATTCCTTCACCAGCAAATTAGTTTTAGGAAATATTCATACCAATGCAAGTTGAAGATTCAGAGACCGGTGGCCTTAAAACTAAGTGTGCCTCTACTTCCCCAAAATCCCCTCAGGGATGCACATCTCAGTTTGAAGACCACCGATGTAAATTTTTACATCATCTTATTGAATTTGATGTAAGAGGTCAGCTTAGGTTAGGCTTCAGTTGGGACACTACACTGGTGTCTATGTCTTGGGAGTACAGAACTATGACCTGGATACTAGTAACAAAAACAGCCAGTGCTCTTGATTGCTTCAGTATTAATGATGGCTGCTGTCATCCTTTATGTTCTACTTTCTGTTTTCTTGTCAGTGGTAGTAATCTTAACTTCAATTTTGGGGTACCTATGTTGAGCTTATGTACTGGCTACCTAAGGGAACTATTATGCCCACTTAAAAATGATTATGTCAACCGAAAATCATTGGTGCCGATGCACCATCAACAAGAATCCCATCTGTTGGTGTTTCAGCTTGGCCAGTCCCTAGTCTTCAGTGAAAAGGAAAAGTATGCTCTCTGAGCCAGATAGGGGTTGTTGTTCAAACACAGAATTCCCCACCCCTGGTCTCTGACTGGTCCATCCTTATGCAAATGAGGATTCATAATCCTCACAGCGTGATAGGTCCAAAGGCACTATCCTGATTGGTCAGAATAGCTATGATTGGTTGGAGCTTCACAACACTGATTGGACGGAGAAACCTCAATCTGATTGGTTACAATAGCAATCCAGGAATTCCTTTATATGGCTGGCTCCGATGGCAGCAATACAGGGTAGGAAGGCAGTTCAGTGCAGGCTTCTCTATGAAGTGCAGTTTGCATAAGAGTCTCCTGCATAGAAATGGCTGCTAGTCTCTGTTTTTTAAAATTTGAGCTTACTTACCACCAAGAGCCCTTCTTAGTAGGTGTTCTTTTTCCCTCAGTGTTTACAATTATTATCACTAAAAAGAAGAGAAATATTTAGAGTATGTTAAGGGATATAAGCAAAATACAAGTTCTGTCCAGAAGTTATCCAGACATGTAATATGAAAAATAGAGACATTTATTGAAGAAGATACAAGAAATATTGTACATATGACAATGACACCTCAGTCCCCTTCAAAGTAGGCACATTGAGACCTCACACAGTTCTCCCAATTGCTACCAGCTGCCCTTCATATTTTCCTCAACCTCAGAGACAGTTTGAAATCTCTTCTCTTTCAAAGGTGATTTTAGTTTTGAGAACAGCCAGAAGTCACAGAACACCAAATCTGGGCTGCAGTGATCTGAGTTATCTGGGTGATTTGATGCTTCATCAAAAAAACTCTGCATAAGACGTGATGCATGAGCAGGCACATGGTCTTGATGAAGCTGCCATTCACCAGTTGCCCATAGGTACAGCTTTCTGAATCATCTGAATAGTTTCTATGGAGGAACATTTGATGCGGATTTGTTGCTCTACTCGCTCAGTCATTTTGAATATAATGACCACGCAGCACACATGCTCACTCAGTGGCATCTGCCACCCTCACTGACTAGTACAGCGAAGTGGTCATTGTTTACACTTGTGCATTCCAGTCTACTCTCTTTGGCTGCCAGGTTACATTATGCAAACTGTTACATTGTGCATAACACTGGCTGGATTTTTTCTGGACAGACCTCGGATATTTGTATGAAAATTACAATTTTGATTATGCAAAACTACATAAAATTTTGGACAACACTGTAAAAAATATGCAAAAAGTAATTATTTTGTAAAATGTCATTAATGTTGCATGTCTTTAATCATCATCTTAAAACAATGATGATGATTACATTTATAATGCTGGGGGTCAGAGAATGTCAACTGTATCTTTTCCTTTCTCCCAGTGGTACTAAGAAACTGTGTGTGAGAATTTAAGTTCCCCAAAATAAAGTGTTCAAGAGATTGAAGATTATAGGAGACCGTTCTGTGTGACATGGCACAGCTCCCACTCAGAAAGGCCAGCGGAAAGTGAGGTCTGGTGCACATGACCTACGCCCATGGATAGGTTCTCTCGTGGGGAATTAGACCTGCATTGTACCTAGGTTGCTTTGAGACTTGCTTTTGCTAAAACTCCCTCACCTGGAATTGAGGCAGAAAGTGCTTACTTTAACTTCCTAAAGTCTACGCTAAACCTTCCAAGGGTGAGTGAGACCAGTTCAACCACTTTTCCCTTTGCATTTGCAAATATCCTTCTTCTGCGATGTGATTAGTGGCATCCTCTCCTTTGTTTTCTCTAAAAGGTAACCACCTAAAGAGAACCTGTGCATAATAAATAAGAACCATCATATAATGTGCCCAGAAAAGCAATAAAAGCTTGTCAAGACAAGGGTTGAGGCGCTCTGCCCTTGAGAGAATGGTTGTGCCATCACTCTTCCTCCACAGGACTCAGTAGTCCATGTGAATTTCTCATGTCTCACCCACGATGTCTTGGGCCCCACAAGCTGGGGACTGTATCAGAAGATCTGTTTTTTCAAAAACGAACTTCTCATCATGACTCACTATAGGTGTTATTCCCCAAATACAGTTAAACTCTTCTTTAATCTAGTTTAATACATCTCATGTGTTAATATGATAAATTCCAGAAGTTTATTTCCTGCTATATGAAGTAGTAGTTTTCTCATTCATATTAACTGTTTAGTTTTCTTTTGTTTCCTGGTTATTCAGAGTTCAAGAAAGCAACCTTGCTTACTTGTACTGCTCTTAAGTTTTACCATTCTTTGTAGCCATTATATTTTTTCAAGTCCGCATTAAAATATATTAGTCATGTTTGGCAGCCTCCAAAACTAATAATTTCTCCTCCCTCCTTCCCTCTCTCTTTCTTTCTTTTTCTTTTTGAGATCTATGAGTGCGGTGTATTTCAGGGCCCACCAAAGGAAGGGCCCAACAAGCTAGCCTGAGAAAATGTGTGTGTGAGAGAGTAATGATGGTTACCACCACTCTGGGTTTCACGGCAGTGGGGACCCATGGTTTCCCCGAGACAAGCCTCGCAATACAGGCGCCGAAATCGCAGAAGACCGGAAGACCCCCGCCCCCCGCAGATATCCTCAGTTTACACAGGCCTCCGACTAACGCAGCGCTGCAAGACCCCGCCCCTTCTTAGCACCCAGTTGCCCACCAACCCTCCCGCGGAGCGTCTCGCTCCCGCACTTCCTCCTTCGGGCTCGTGGCCCCGCCCCCTCCGCGCCGGCCCGCCCCGGCCGGCCGCCCCGCCCCTAGGCTGTTGCTCCCTGCGGCCGCCGCCCTCCCCCGGCCCAATGGCGCGGCTGCCGCGTCAGTGATGTGGAGCTGTGCTCTGGCTCGTCCGGCCCCAGGCTCATAGCCCATTACACCATCCGCCGCGGCAGCCGCTGAAGCCCGCGTTGACTGGAAGGGCGGGAGGCAACTCAGCGGGGCGGGGCGAGCGGCGCGACCGGACTTATTCCTGTGGGGCGCAGGGTATGGAGGAACTGTGCGACCGGAGGCGGACTGGGGCGGTGGAGGCGAGGACAACGGTTTGAATTTGAAGAGGGCGGCCGTAGCCCCAGCTGCCAGCGGCGACTGGCAGGACTAGCCCACGGGCAGGTAGCCGTGACGGCGGCGGCCTGCGGGATCCCGGGCCCTGGCCTGAGGCGCCCGCGGGGAGGCCTGGGCGGGAAGGGTAAGGCGGGCGCCCCGGGCAGCTGAAGGTGGCAGCGGGCGGGAGGCCACAGGCTGGTAGGAGTCGGGAGGGGTCGTGGTCGGTGGAGGACCTTGGGGAGGAGCTGCTCGTGTCTGGAAAAGGTAGAAGTGAAGGTTCCGTAGGGGCGGCTGTGGTTTGGGGAGCAGCGAATCCCTTGGGGGCGGAGGGATCAAAACGGGGAGGGAGAAATTATGTGAAAGGCAGCCGGATTTCCTGAGAGCTTTGAGTAGCCTTAAAGGAAAGAAAATCTTTCGGGCGAGGGGGTTTGGCCCGAGCTGGCCGTGGTTGGTTGTGTCTGACTTTTTTGTTCCTCCACGAAACCCTTTCTGGCCACAGTGAGGCCTTCCAGCCTCGCGCCCTCGGTCAGCTCTCTGCAGCTGTAAGAGAAACAGTTCTGAACCCGCGTCTCCTGCCTCTTTCAGTTGTACTCTCCCTGGGCGTGTGTAGAACAAAACTAGAACTAAAGCGTGGCTAGATGGGAGGCGAGAAAACCGGTTGCCTATGGTGTTTAAATTTATAGTATATAGAGAAGAGACCGCCTCCCACCAAAACACTGGGGTCTCTATGCCTTTTTGTAGTCTCCTTTTTCACTTTGGGGGGGGCGGTGTTGGAGGCGGTGGTCTTTAAGGTATGGCTTTCCCTCCCTTCCCACAGAGGAGAAATGAAGAAAAACCAAAATGTTTTTGCCTTTGCCTATGGAAAATTCAAAACTACTCTTTCTCCCCTCTAGTTTGGTGTTCTGGTTGTCAGATGTCGGAAGGCAGTAGGACAGAACAAACTCACCGCGGTTTTATATCCGTCCTGGGGTGCAGTGATTAACAGCGAACTTTGGTTCCTGGAACTCTTGCCTGTGTCCATAGAGTTAAGCTGGAGCTTTGCTTTGAAGGATAAATAACACACAGCCTCTGAACTGGACATAAATGGATCTAAAGACAGCAGTATTTAATGCAGCTCGCGATGGCAAACTCCGGCTTCTCACCAAGTTGTTGGCAAGCAAGTCCAAAGAGGAGATTTCCTCCTTGATCTCTGAAAAAACAAATGGGGCCACGCCACTCTTGATGGCGGCCAGGTATGGTCACCTTGACATGGTGGAATTCCTCCTAGAGCAGTGCAGTGCCTCCATAGAAATTGGGGGCTCAGTCAATTTTGATGGTGAAACCATAGAGGGGGCCCCCCCGTTATGGGCCGCTTCTGCAGCAGGACATCTGAAGGTGGTTCAGTCTTTGTTAAATCATGGAGCGTCTGTCAACAACACGACTTTAACCAATTCAACTCCTCTTAGAGCTGCCTGTTTCGATGGCCATTTGGAAATCGTGAAGTACCTTGTAGAACACAAAGCTGATTTGGAAGTGTCTAACCGACATGGGCATACCTGCTTAATGATTTCATGTTACAAAGGACACAAAGAGATTGCTCAGTATTTACTCGAAAAGGGGGCAGATGTTAATAGAAAAAGTGTTAAAGGTGAGTTCCATTTCCTTTTTAATTATTTTAATTGTTTACACTTATTTTCTGGAAACTTGATACATAAGTATAAGCATTGGTGTTGATTGAATAAGCCAAAACTGACAGAATTGTTTTGATTATGTATACCTTCCAGTGTAACCTTGTTGATTGTTTCTGTGACATTTGATAACATTGAACAAATGTTATAAAAAAGATCCCTATCCGCTATGTTAAGCAGCATTTTCTGTCCCTTACTTGTAGTAACTTCTAATTCCTGGGGAATGGGTTCTTCAAAGTTACAGGGCATGTTAGTGGCAGTGGGATCTGAGGCCTTCGGTTGTATTTAATCTTTTTGAGAATATACTTCAATGTAATATATTTTTCTTAGCTTTCATTTTTTTTTTTTAGAACACCCTTGGAGTAGAAACTACTATATTTAGTCAGTCATTTTATTGTTTATCTTAGGTAGGCATTTCTTTTGTTGTTCTGTCAGGAAAGGCTAGGCCAAACCGACCTAGAGGGATTAATATCGATGGAAAAGGAGAAAAATCTGTTCTCCTTTTGTGTGGCCAGGAGAAAATCTTTTTGTATAGAACATATATTAAATATAGTAAGAAAGAAAACAGATTTTTAAAAACTGCTAACAATACTGAGAGCAAAACAAGGATTAGGTTAAACAAATGTGGATTTGTTGGCTAGCAACAGCGTAAACAACCTTTGTCCAGAAGAGCTCAGGTTTACAATTGTGTATAATTTCCAGCAATTGTAATGAATTTAAAGCAGCAAATGATAGTTTAGAATTATTTTAAACCCTTAAAAAAACAACTGGTAGTATAATTTTGATACTTGAAAACCTGTTTTTCTTAAACATTTATTTATACAGCAGCAAAATATTTTACTGCTTAATTTTTAAAAAAACCTATTGTATTAAAACTTAAAAGTAGCATACAGACATGGTAAAAAAATATTCAAACAGTACGTATATGTTTACAGTGTTTATAATGAAAAGTAAGTTTTTGTTGTGTTTGTGTGTCCTAGAACTAAGACAAGTATACTTCTCTATTATTCTCCCCATTTATCTGTTAGTTGATACATACTGTTTTTTAAAAAAATCTTAATTTACCTTGGATGTCATTCAGCTTCAATACATATACAGTTACCTCAGTCTGTTTCATGGCTACACAGTACTTCATTGTATGTAAGGTATTTATCAGGTCTCTATTGATGGACACTTTGGTCATATCCTTTACAAACAATGCCGCTGCAAATATTCTTGAACAAACATGTGTCTTGGCACACTTGTGTGAGAATAGCTATTTTATAAATAATTACAACTGGAATTGCTGAATCAAAGTAAATGTGCATTTATCATTTTGGTAGTGTCTGACTTCCTTTCAGAGATGCTAAACCACAGTTGTAGTGCATACAGTTACTGAATACATTTATTAAAGTTACTACCTTTAAGAAAAGATTTGTTATAAAAATACAACGTGCTCATTGTGATTTTTCTGAAAATGTTTTTCCCCCAGAGGAAATATAAAAATATCAAAAAATCCAAACACTTAGAGATAACCCTTTTAAAGATGTTTCTAAATTTATACATAGATATGTGTATGCAGTTTTATTTTATATGCTCTTCTGTAACCTATTTTTAGCTTAATAAATGTTATCTTTAATGTCATTAATTTTAGTTCTTTGATTTCAGTAGCTACATACTCTTGTATTAATGGAGTTTTATGTTGCTTCTGGCTTTTCAGTAAGCATTCTTATCAGTATTTTCAACTGTTCCTCACGATTTTTTAATCATTTTTATTATTGTTTTTGCTTTATTTTATTATCTTTAATTCTTTTGTTTTTTAATATATTTTATTGATTATGCTATTACAGTTGCCCCATTTTCCTTCCTTCACTCCCCTCCACCCTGCACACCCCCTCCCACCCACTTTCCCCCCCTTCAGTTCATGTCCATGTGTCCTACATATAAGTTCTTTGGCTTCTACTTTTCCCATACTATTCTTACCCTCCCCCTATTTTCTACCTACCATCTATGTTACTTATTCTTTCTACCTTTTCCCCCCTCCCCCTCCCATTCTCCTGTTGATAACCCTCCATGTGATCTCCATTTCTGTGGTTTTATTCCTATTCTAGCTTTTTTTTTTTTTTAAGATTTTATTTATCTTTAGAGAGGAAGGGAAGGAGAGAAGGAGAGAAATATCAATGTATGGTTGACTCTCGTGAGTCCCCTGCTGGGCACTGCAACCCAGGCATGTGCCCTGACTGGGAATCGAACTGTCATCGTGTGATTCACAGGCCCGAGCTCAATCCAGTGAGCTACACCAGCCAGGGCTGTTTGTTTTTGTTTTAGGTTCAGTTGTTGATAGTTGTGAGTTTGTTGTCATTTTTATTGTGGGTTTATTGTTCATATTTTCATCTACTTTTTCTCAGATAAGTCCCTTTAACATTTCATATAATAAGGGCTTGGTGATGATGAACTCCTTTAACTTGACCTTATCTGGGAAGCACTTCATCTGCCCTTCCATTCTAAATGAAAACTTTGCTAGATAGAGCAATCTTGGATGGAGGTCCTTGCCTTTCATGACTTGGAATACTTGTTTCCAGCCCCTTCTTGCCTGTAAGGTTTCTTTCGAGAGATCAACTGGGAGTCCTATGGATACTCCCTTGTAGATAACTGCCTCCTTATCTCATACTGCTTTTAGGATTCTCTCCTTCATTTTAATCTTGGGTAATGTAATTATGATGTACCTTGGTGTGTTCCTCTTTGGGTCCAACTTCTTTGGGACTCTCTGAGCTTCCTGGAAGTCTGTTTCCTTTGTCAGATTGCGGGAGTTCACCTTTATTATTTGTTCAAACAACTTTTCCACTTGTTCTTCCTCTTCTTCTGGTACTCCCATAATTTGGATGTTGGAATGATTAAAGGTGCCCTGGAGGTTCCTAAGCCTCTCCTCATTTTTTTGAATTCTTGTTTCTTCATTCTTTTCTATTTGGTCATTTTTTCTTCCTTCTGGTTCACTCCATTGATTCGAGTTCCAGTTTCCTTCCCATCACTATTGATTCCCTGTACATTTTTCTTTATTTCACTTAGTGTAGTTTTCTTTTTATCATCTAATTTGCGACCAAATTCAACCAATTCTGTGAGCATCCTGATCAGCTGTGTTTTGAAATGTGCTTCTGGTAGATTGGCTGTCTCTTTGTTGCTTAGTTGTATTTTTTCTGGAGCTTTGATCTGTTCTTTCCTTTGAGCCGTTTTTTTGGTCTTGATGTGCCTGCTATGTAGTGAGGGGCGAATCCTTAGGTGTTCACCAGGGCAGGGTAACCCACATTGTTGGATTGTGACACTGTATGTGGGAAGGGGTCCGAGAGGGAACAATGGTGCTTGCTCTGCTCTCCTGCTTCCCACAAGCAAATTGAGCCCTTTTGGTGCTGATTCCCATGTGGGTAGGCTTGTGTACATTCTAGGGGCTTGTGGGTCTCTCCAACAAACTCTCCTGTGAAGCTGGGAGTTTCTCCCACTGCCACCTCAGCCTCCATAGGTGTTTTCAGTCAGTGGTTTGAGTCTTTATTTCCCTGTGCTGGAGCCCTGGGTCGTGCAGTCTGTCCTGCTGCCCCTTTGTTTCTCCTGGTTTATCTGCTTGTGAATTTGGGACTGCCCGGTCCACTGGCCCCTGCCTTGCCTGCCTGAGTCCTCTACCACTGCCTTGACAAGAGTTCTTTCCGCCCCAGCTGCCGGAGTCCTCCCCTCCTACCTACTGGTCTGGATGAATGTTTCTTTAACTCCTTGGTTGTCGGACTTCCATACAGTTTGATTTTCTGTCAGTTTTGGTTGATTTTTGTTTTTAAATTGTTGTCCTCCTTTTGGTTGTGCGAATGTAATGTTTAGGACTTTCTTTGTTTCTTTGTTTTGGACTTTTTACTGATCTGCCTAATGATGGACAGATTACTGTTGAACTCATGTATTTGAAGTAAAATTGGGGTATGTTTTAAATTCTTATGTCATTGTAGAGATGAGTACTGGTACTCTTTCCTGTGTGCTTTTCAAAACTGCTTTATATACTTCTAGAGATACAATATTTGAGAAAACTATACTGTAAATAGTTAATTTTTTTGTGAGCATTTTCCCTAATAAACTGTAAGCAGTATTTAACTTGATTACCTTTGGTATTTTACAAGAATATTCCTTTTAATCACTATTTTCATATAGCTGTGTATGTAAGCATGTGTATACTCCCTATTTTGGCCAGTGGTCTACTTATTCTAGTCATTTTTTCCCCAGTGTCAATATCAAATATTTATGTCTTCCAAAAATATACATAACCTCTATATTACTTTGTGGGCAGTAGTCTTACCTCACATGGTGCATTTTAATTTCAACAATAATTTTTAATGATTGTTGGGGTAGATTAATGTACATCATACCGTACCCTGTTCTGATCCTGAAGCTTCCATTCTTTGATAATCACTCTCATTGACTCTTCAGTTTTTTTAAGCTGTGTAGTGGTGTCCAACCTTTTGGTGTCTCTGGGCCACACTAGGAGAGTTGTCTTGGGCTGCACATTAAATACACAAGCACTGATGAAAACAAAAAAAAATCTCATAACGTTTTAAGTAAATTTACGATTTTGTGTTGGGCCGCATTCATAGCCATCCTGGACCACATGCAGCCTGTGGGCCATGGGTTGGACACCCCTGAAAAGGGGCTACAAAATGCAGGAACCAATTAAAACTGAGGCAGGAACACTGGAGAAGGATCTGATAGAGAGCATTTAGAAAAATCTTTCCCACATTTTTACTCCCATCCAAAAAAAATGGAAAAGACTGATAAGACTAGGGTTAAAATGGAATAATTTCTCAGGAAACTTTTGCCAGCCATTGGAAATGTTTTGGAAGGAAGAAAATGCAAATAGATTGTGCTTGATCTGCTTAAATATAAAATGTATGTGACTTCTACATTCCATTTTTAATAGGTAGTTGGCATTTGAGTATATTATTTTATCTCTATC